CAACTTAAAGAGTTTTCATCAGTTGTGCGCGTTGAAAGCGACAAGTGTGTATGCTCTTCAAGAGCTGAAAAAGGGCTAAGGATAGATAAAGACCAGAAAGGCCAAAAATTGTTCATACATCATGGTAACGACTTTAAAGAATTAAAAGCTTGACTGCACATGGAGTTCGCGAAATTACAACTTTAATATGTCGACATTATACAGTTAAATGTGTCATACGATTCAAAAACAAAGTTTACATCATATTTCTCACTTTTAACTCCCTGTAAAAATTCAAGTGTCATAGACGATAAATTTAGTAGCACTAAAGCTCGGAATTATTTTTAGCGAGGAGTTTCTTTCATAAACAACGAACTTCAGTAGTTATTACTTATGTTGCCTCCACGATTGATACTTATCAGACCATGGCTGTAAGACCCAAGGTTGACCTTGCCTCGAATAACAATGTTTACGAGGCGTCTGTTTTCAACAAAACACCTGAGTCAAACTCCAGTGTTTTCACCAGTCTTATCATATTATCGTGACAATACCTCCTACTTAGAGAAAGGGACGACCATCACGCTTTCCATCGCTTTATTCAGTACCACAAACCGCTTACTGCATTTTTGCGGGTTGCGGTAAACGGGTACAAAGCTATTGTTGATATCAGGCATGTTTACGTCTTTTTAATTTCAGGAGAAATCTAATTTCTGGTTGTTTAGTAGCAATGGAAACTAAAAGGAACCTGTGCTTTACAAACATCAAGTTAGAGTATTGACTTGACATGACTGATTGTCAGGGTTCTCACGCTAATTCGTCCGAAGAGTGACACATGAATAACAATTCCTATCTGACAAACAAATTTCCTATAAAAGCTACCTCAATGTCACATTTTTAATGGACAATTTCCCAACGAATCACATAAACTTTCCCTTGATTAATAGAAAATATCAATATTTACATTGTTATATGGAAGAACTTTCGAGGGATGAAGGATTTCCTAACAAGAACGAGGATGACGTACAAAAATGAATGGTCAAATACTTGCAATTTAAATGCACGCTGTAGGCATGTCTGGAGTGGTATTGTGTGTGAGGCAAACTCGTCATACAAACGACGAACTTTTTTCCCCATGTACTTGGCAAGTGTTCAGTTTAATATATAGAACGTGCAAAGAGTGTGGGTGCAAATAATTCACGTGTAAATAATGCAAGTGCAAATAAGGAAATCCATTTGCGATGGATCCTGAGGCCAGTACACTGACAGACGCTAATGAGATTTTGTCTTGAACGCTTAATATCTGTCTAGCAGCAAACGATTTCTACTCTGATTCTACATGACGAACTTCAGGAGTTTTATTTTTTTAGCAAAAGCCTTGCGCAGCCTTAAAGAAAGGAACTTACCTCGACTCGACGTGCAGTTTTAGCCGAAACTTTAACTTCAAATCTGGTTTTTTTTTCTCCTGTAGGCATTTCTATTTGGACTCCCCAGTTTCAGATTGTAAGAATTGGAGCTGCAGTGAAACCCCACCTCCCGACACCTCGGTAGTATACGGTCGCCTCGCTATTACGGCTACCTTTTTTTCGGCCCGGCAAAACGGCTATGAGTTTTCTTATAAAAACTCTCGTAAATGCGGTCACCCGTTAATATGACCACTCGCGCTAAATATAGAAAACCAGTACACTTAAAATCATGATTTGTGCCGGTTGAATAGCCGATTGTAAAAGCGCTCTATTATTGAGCGAGTTTTCAAGTGTTTTCTTTTTCACAATTACATATACTGGTTGCTTATTAAAGCGAACAGTTGTTCAGGAAGTGCGAATGTGATACATTTTTCATGACAGGTATAAGGCATGGAATTTGACCCTACCCCGTTATTTCGGCCAGTTTGTTTTGGTAATCGTACTCTAACGGGGTTCCACTGTATCGATTTATCATTAAATAAGGAATAATCTTTCTATGTCAACTTGATAGGTTAATCGGCAATTAAAAGCTGGTATGCGATGGAACCACTATTAATTTTTAATTCTTAAGAAATATTTTGATAATAAAGATTGGACAATGAAACACGTATACTCAAGACCATGAAGTTTTATTTTTTAGGTCCATATTAACAACCACATCTATGGGCCGTTCACTCTAACTACTTAACCCTTTACAACCTAACATCAGTATGCATATTCTCCATACTGTTCTCTATACATTACTTAGGGTGCTAACAAAGAGAACTTGCTTAAAGAATGAAAAGTCTCTTTAGTTGATGATCATTCCTTTTATTCTCATTACCTTAACGTTTGATTCAGTGGTGATACTGTAAGTAGAAATTAGATACTAGTCACTCTGAATGGTTAACAAAAGAAAGATCTTTCACTCTCAAGGACATTAAAAATTTCAAAAAGAATCCTTTCGACTCTTTGAAGAGGCAAAAGTCGAGAGTTTTGGGAAAACACACAACTGAACATTGCGAGTTCTTTTTTCTTCTATCATAAAATGTCTTTACTAGGATTTTTACAATACTTCGTGAAAGTTTGGCTCGCGTAGTCGCGCATAAAAGGCATTCTGATAACAAGCAATGCCTCAGGTGTAGTGGATGATCTGTCAGTTTCAGTCAAGGGCTTTCAAGTATAAAAATTCGACGTATACAACCCGTAGCAATCTCCTTCATTCTCTCCTTTCATAAAATCTAGGATAGTTTTTTTCAAAAATTATAACTGAAACATTGTCGAGTAATTTTTTTAGAGCAATTTTCAGTGTCAAAAGTTATCTAGGATAGCTTGCTTTACTTCGCTCCGTGTTTGGTCCAGAAAACTCACGCCACTTTCTAGACAAATCGAAATAAAAACTAACCATTCGCGATTTGGTCACTTAGATTTTCCCGCACTTCAGGCAGTTTCCTTGTTTTGAATTAGAGCTCCTCGCGATTAATTTCTTTTTTTTTTTTCGATTGGCTGTTGCAATTAGGGTGGTTTTGGTTTTACAGACTCAATCAAACTAAGCTCTAAACCGCCGCCGGAATAAATCCTTTGGGTGGAAAGTTGACAGCTGGAGATGCGCGATTTTACTACTTGTTGAAACCAGCTGAGAAAGTTTCATACCGTTACTTGTTCCCCGTTGATGAATGGTATCACCAGATGTTTGTGGAGAGTTTACCGTGATTTCAAGACTAAATAGAAACCATCGAATATTTCAGCTCGCACGCGATTGCTCGCGTCTCTCATCTAACATACTGATGTTAGGGTGGAAAGAGTTAATTGGAGAATTGACCGCCTCGGTCCAGTAAAAAATCCAAACTAGAAATGGCAGACTCAAAAAAAAAAAAAAAAAAAAAAAAAAAAAAAAGTACAAGCCAAACACAACCACAAGACAATCAAATCCTTTGGTAATCTTCAAAACGGAAGCCAATCATCTTCAATAAACCTCACATTTAGTTTTGTCTCTTCCTTTGCAAAAAAAAAAAAAAAAAAAAAAAGTTACGTTTACCAGGGTAATATTCTTCTACTCAACTCTCAACTATTCCAACGGAAAACCGGAAGATTTGTTTCGTATCCAAGAGGAGGAGCATATTTCCCCCCACCCCACCCACTCACATCCCCGAGTACGTGAAATTCGAATGGCTTTCGTTGATCATGAAAATTCCGAAAGCTTCGCAATCATAGTAAAACACACGAAAATTAGAGTACTTGAGTCGAACACCCCACTAAGAGCATCTAAATGTCAAACGATGCAAGAAGGTTTAACTATTATAACACGATGGAAGAGGACTTAGATGATGTATTGCTTAAAACTAACATTCTCCTAATCGAGATAGCACTTGCTAAAGAGCAGAGACACTCCTTCACGCCAAAAAAAGTAGCGGCTCATTCTTACACTTTTTCATGCTGCATACTCAAGTTTCTTTGGAGGGGCTTTGTTCGTGTACTCTCTTTCACGTTCGAGCTGATTCAAGTGAAGTATCTTATAAGGGCAAATAATTTCAATGCTACTATGGAAAAAAAAAACCGAATGACAAATAAACAATAACACAAAATTTGGTATATTGTGGAGTTAAAAGCGAGGGTAGGATCTGCAAATACAACATTGCCAATGGGAACAATTTTCAATTGGGTATCGAAAGTAATCAAGTAAACTTTTTCTGATTGCCTTGGCTATTTTTTTGTTTTAACTGTTTCGGTTAATGGTCTGGGAAACTCGCACCCCCCTCTCCACCAATCTGATGCCACCCTAAAACCAGTCATTGGCGCTTTCCCGCGCTTCAGGTACAATCCTCAAATAACATGTCAACATTCTAGCGACGTGATTTCAAATATATTTCAACAACAGTAAACATAAAAAACGACTCCTCTAATCATAATGTACCACAATTCACAAACAACAAATCCATCATCAAAACCTCTAAAGCGATCCAGTCGTCCAATATCGTCCTAGGAAAGCGAAAAGTAAAGTATTCCTGGAGAAGCAGAGTGTGTGATGGTTTTCTTTGTATCCAATTATCAACGAACTTTATACAAGGAAAAAAATTACGTCAACATGACGTCATTACTTTCTACATGATGTTGCCTAGCAACAAATCTCTTCCATCTCTCTGAACTCCAGCTCGGTTGTTCGAAGTTCGGTTAGCGCTAACCCAGAGTCAAATGTTAAGCCGGGTTCCTTCATTCATTTTAAAAAAAACCCATTTTCAGATAATTCCCTTTATTCTCATTAGGGTATCCAGTCACCAAATTGTAGACAAAAGGGAAAGTACTGAATTTTCTTTCACAGCTTTCAGATCTGAAAGCAGATTTCACACTAACCCTGGGTTACCTTCAGCCAGCTTTGAACAACCCGGCCCTGCAGGAGAGTAAGGGGTTCAGTTCATAGTGGCGAGGCTCTTGATGGAGGCACAGCAAGGAATTTAGCTGCAGACCGCCACCAAGGTAACAACAAACAGTACAGCACAGAGCCACGGTTAAGTTTGAGTTTCAATAGATATTCACACGCCGCGGTTTTACTTTTGATCTAAAAGCTAGAACCACTCAATACTTATCAAACGAATATACTGCAGCTTGCTAATGCAGAGGTGCACGATAAAAGGCACACTATACAGCATAATAAACAAAAAGAAAAATGCATATATTAGAGCATCGATGCTCTCAAGTCGCACTCGCAGAGTCCAGCATGACCAAGTATTCCCTTTTGTTTCAATGTTTTTTCCCTTTGGTTTTAGCTGGAGAAGTGTGAGATACTTTCGCCGGGATTCCACGGTCAGACACAAATGTTACTTGAAGTGACGACCTCGTATTTGTTCGTGTAGGAACCCTTCGGCGCTTTCTTAAAGGACTCCCTTCATCTGCGTCTGAATCGTCTTTGGAGGCACCTTAATAGAAAATAAAAAAAAAAATGTTCAAGCGGGAACTACGATAACAATACGCAAAGTAGGTGAGTAACTCGACCATGACGTACGACACATAAATCACTTAACACTCGTATTCCAATATGGAAACACCTCCCTGGGACGGAAAAACAAATTATTTTTCGTTTGCTGTTGCAGCTTGCGTTGTTTCCGCCCCACTGCAAGTTCACTCCTTACAAGTTCGTTTCCTGGTCGTGATTGGATGAACTGATTAGCGTTGAGGAGCTATATTACAATGTGGCGAAACCTCCTGACAACTGATGTTAAAAAAATATATATTACAGGTACCACCACCAATAGTTCGACCCACTAAACACGTGTTAGAATTTTCTGCAATAACGGCTTACATGAGACATAAAAACCTAAGGCTGTTAGACAGAGAACACAGCCAATTATGTATCATAGCGAGCGTGACGATATCCGGACAGAGAAGACAGTCTTATTACAAGATGTACAAGAACTTTTGCCGTTCGCGTAGAGGTGGTTCTACAGCTCTCTAATTGGCTGCACTCGCTTTTTATCACACGATACCTTGTTACTATAAGCACAGTAAACAAACCTGATGAAAACGGTGACGAGGTTTTTCTCAAGCTGTAGTCATGACTAGAACCCTCGCTGGTTTCACCCTCGCCATCTGTATCTGATACATCCCTTGATGAGCTTCCCGAAGCTGACTTTGTAGGCGCGGTAGTTCTCCTTGGAGACTGCCGCCGGGTAGTTGAATGGCTGAGGTCGTCGTCCTGAAGATGCGGCTTCCCCTGAAGAAAGCTTGGTACCTGACTGTCTGCAGATCGACCCACGGCACTTGTGGTAGTGATGTCCCCGAGTGACGCACCAACTGGCGTGTTACCACCAGATTGTGCTGGCATGTCTCCGAAGCTGCTGATAATTTCCGACAGGTCAAGAGATGGCATTTCATTTGCATCACTACCAGTTCCATCTCGGTTCATGTCTTTCAAAAAGTCATCTAGTGTTGTATCACTGGGAAGCATACTCGACCCTAACGGATCGAAATCTGTACTACAGGCGAGCCGGCGATTTCCATCTACGTCATTCTCGGTCAAGGGTATCGCCGATGCCGCACCTTGAGAAGAAGAATCCTTATTCCCAGCGCTCTTTTTGTTGCCGCAGAATTTTTCGGCGGAAGAATCTCGGACCGCGTCTCTTCCTGAGCTAGACTTACACAACAGTTTAGCTTGGGAGGTTGATTCGTTTGACCCTGACACACTGGTGAACAAACGTTCTCTCGCAGGCGAATTAAGAGCTGACGTGTTATTAACAACCGAGGTTAAATCTTCCACTGACTTACTGGCATCGGAGCTTGCTGCTGATGTCGTGTTACTTTTCCCTTCTTGTGTGCTCATAATTGGTCCTTTTACTGAGCGGATGGCAGAAGTAGGAAAACTTGACTGATCACCTAATGGCATAAACAAACAAAATATTCAATATAAATGGAGAATAGTAAACAGAATGGAGAATAGACGCTGACACAAACACAAAAAAAAAACATACAGACTGACAGTGCTCATATGGAGAATTTTGATACAGAATAAATTTTTCATACTACCTTGCCACTAAAAGGAATTTGAACTGTAAGCAGAGGTTATATTTAGACTTGAATATCTACGTGTTTCTTTCCTGTTGCATAATATTTTCTTTTTACACAATCAATGCAATAAGAAGCACAAGGGTAATGGAAATATGCAAAGTTATCAACTAAAGGGCGTTGTATCCTGGTTAAAAACATATATATTATATCAAATTCTTTCATAATTTACCAGAAAATGAACAGGGGCTTAAAGGGAGAATTGAAAATCATCACTTAGGAGTAGAGAGGATTCACGGTCGTAACTTTAGAGAATATAAAATTTGACAGCTAAAAAACTAAAAAGGAGATACCTGTTGAACTTGATGCTGATGTCGATGGAGACTTCGCACCACTTGACTGTGCTACCATGGTAATCACCATTTTCCGGCGCACAGTCTGTGATTGGTTGGCAATTGTCTTTGGCACTCTGTCTGCAGGAAGAAGCAGTAGTGGCTTCTTGCCTCCAGTACTCTCCAACTGCTCAGATGAAGTCAATGCCTGGATTGTTGGACTGCTGTTTGGGATGGATGATGGAACCAAGACAAGGACTTGTGACCCTTGTTGTTTTTGTTTACTTGTTTGTTTGGTTTGTTTTCCTTTTTTCTTGTCACTGCTGCGGGTTTTAACACCTCCTCTGTTCGCTTCTTGAATGAACTTCTCTATCAGTTTAGGGGAGATTTTCTCAATAGGAACTAAGAACAACGGAGAGCCTTTAGTGACAGGGAAGGGCACAGATGGTTCTCCTTTCTTTCCAGTGGGGTTAGTGTAGATGGTTGCCTTTTGGAGGGATAAGAGATGAAGGACTTGTTGTGGTAGAAGGTGCTGGTTGGTCTGTAAAGTTTGAAGCAGTAGGGGTTGACTGTGCAGCGCTGAAGCGACTGGAAAGTTTCTCAACAGCCCCAGAACTCCCTAAAGTGAACCAAATCACATTTCTGTTAAGGCGTATCTGTGATTTCACCAAAAATCCTTATTGCTCGAAATATCTTGAAGATTTCATAAGAGCAATCATAGCCATCAAAATCTGTATAATTTTTTTTTCACAGAAATTTTAAAAACAAAATTGGTTAACACAAGTAAGGTGGCAACAGAAATGAATTCATCATAAACAAAACAATATTCTAAATCAATATTTAAGAAATTTTTTCAAGAAAATATTTAGTAATATTTCTAACAATAATTTGATAGAGAAATTGTTTCTGCTTTATGATACAGGTATTAATTTGTCATTTAATTGATATTTGATTCTTTCTTTCAACACTTAAACTTCCAAGATCTGATTGTTAATTCTCCCACCTAAATCTACATGTAGCTGCTACATGTTTCCTTGTATATGAGTTATGAGAATTTGGTGTTAGATCATGATAACAACCTCCACTGATAGTTTGAGTATTCTCATTACCTGTTTTTGGATGATGTATGTATAATATAGGGAGAAGTTTCATGTAAATCACTTCTGAAAGTTCAAAGGTTAACAGTTTTACAAACTGTGTACATAGGTACCTGTTGCCTGTGGATCTTTGGATTTATCATCTTGCTTTTGTTCTTGATCAACACTCATAGGTTCAGCACCTTTTGTATCAGCTTCAATGATTGGGAAAAAAAATTAGCAGAAGGAAATAGAAAACTTTATCATAAAGTCCTGACTGATTGTCCAGGGTAAGAAGATTCTCCTGACAGGAACAAAACAAAACAAAAAACAAAACTTTTCTTGCCCTGATCAAACCACACTTCGGCCTAATTTCTGTGTGAATTGGCAAGCATGTGAGCTTGTATTTCATTGCTTTCAAGTGAGATTTGATTTTTCATTCTGAATACAGTTCCTAACTGAAATTTTCTAGTACAAGTACATACACACCAAAGCTAAATCTTTGCATGATTATGTGCTGGCCTTTTACTTAATTGCTATAAACAGTAGATATTTTTTCCATTGGGTATTTTAACCCTTTGTACCCTAACATTAGTGTGTAAAATTCTCTGTACTGTTCTTAATAGAATACAAACTTGGGTAAGGGTGCATGTTTCATTTTTCCACTTGATAGAACTTTCAAGACAGGACTCTGAGGTTGTGCAAGACTTTGGAGATGGGGAGGGGGTATTGATAACTCTGACATTATAAATCATACCTTTTCTTAAAGGAATTAAAAAAAAAAAAAAAAAGACAGCCTTTGGTGAGATATATGACATGACTGTGTGCTGATTAGAAAACAAATGTCCTATAATCCCCCTGCCACAATATGATGCATATTACCCATGCTTATAATAATTCACAGATTAATAACAGACTGAGTTATTCTTTTAACCCTTTATCTCCCATGAGTGACCAAGACAGATTTTCTCCTTACAATATCAATACAACATCAACCAGATAAATGATGAGAATAAAGAAAACTATCAATGTGGGTATAATTGGTTGAGCCAATGCTAAATTCTCTGAATTAAAATTACAAATTTGATCTGGGAATTAAAGGGTTAAGAGGAAAATAAGATGGTTCTGAATTGTAATTCCCTTCCAACCCCTCCTCGCAAGCAGAGTAAGGGGTTTGGACAAAATAAAGATATAAGTAGTCCCATTGTACATGTATGTCTGAGAGACTGTAAGAAAAAAACAAAAATAACTCCAAATAATAGACTTAAACTACTTATGAAATCAAGACTCTGATGATACAATGAAACTTAACCAGTAATTACACTGTATAAAATTATTCATAATCTTCTGGAGCTGTGCTCCTGCAAAATGTCTGGTGAGGTGCTAATTGGGATCATAGATAAGAAAAATACAGTACTCATTACCTTTCTTACTGTCTTCAGATTCTTGTGAGGCTGAAGTTTCTTGTCCTAATGCACTTGATGAACTTGTGGAGCCTGCATTCTCTATGTCATATTCTACAGGCATGGATGAAGAAGTGCATGTGGACAGAAGTGTTAAACCTTTAAACCCTTATGAGTGACTAGCATCTAACTTCTCATTACTATATCACCCCTGATTCACAACTTGAGGTCACAGGAATTAGGGAAATGGTCACCAACTAAAGAAGTTCTTGATTGTCAAAGAAATTCTCCTTATCATTACCTTGGGAAATGTATAGAGATCAGTGTGGAGAAATTACAAACTGATGTTGTGGTGTAAAGGGTTCAGCAAAGAGCAAACAAGCTTATTAAAATGACCAAAAATAGATGAACAAATAAATGAAATTAGCATATCCACATCTGCTCAATAATCATCACCAAGGAATACAATAAGTGACATGACATCCTAATAGAACCAAAGAGGTACCTCAATAATTTGTATTTAACAAATTTTAAAACCAAAATTCTGTTCTCTGTCTTAAGATTTTCTCATCATTTATTTCTCTGACTACAATTTAGCTCCCCCTCCCTTCTGCTCCCCTCCAATAAATAATCCCACTCCTAGGAATGTTCAATAAGTCATTTCTGCTTACAATTTAAATAATTTCTCAAGCAATATAATTAGATTTCTCATATCTATTTACATTTGGTTGGAAAATTATTGTTCAATTAAAAATACCCAAAGAGGTACATTGTATCTGAAAATCTACTGCAAACATTGTGAAAAAATGTTTAAAAACCATTTGGGGAAAAAAGTCTGTTGTAGGAACTCAGACACAATGACTTGTAAACCAACCAAACTTCTAGGATTTTCAATGTACTGGGGATAGTTTTAGATAAATGCATAAGACACCAAAATCTCCCTAGTTATACAAATTCTCTGAACCCCTAGGAGCGACAAGCATCTAATTTCTCTCTACAATATCACCCCTGAATCAAACATTACGGTCATGAGAATAAAGAAAATAATCACCAACTAAAGAAGCTCTTGATTGTTAAACAAATTCTCCTTGTCAGTTCATTAGAAAATGCATAAAAAAGTGTGGAGAATATACATACTGATGTTGGAGTGTTAAGGGTTAAAGGAAATTTGAAACCCATTACAGACAATTTACAAAATCACTAGCTATAAAACGTGGCTTACCTGGTGCTGCTGAATTATCCAATGCTTGTTTTTGTTTTTCTTTGGCTTTATTTTTCTGCATATTACCACCTTGCTTGACAGGCTTGGAACTGTCTTTTTCAACTGGTGTCATCATCCCTTCATTCAACTGCCTTGCTTCTTTTTGTACAGTCATTTCTGAGCTTGCCAGTGTTGGTTTTTTGTTACCCTTTTCGCTTTGAGCTGCATCTGTTTTGGCATCTGAAGGACACAAACATGTATGTCATGATGAGTGCTAGAACCTTCAACCATGATCATGGTCGATGCCTGTAATTAACTCTTTAACTCCTTGAGGGACCAAGACAGAATTTCTCTTTGCAATATTAATACAATAACAGGTAAGCAAGGGATGAGAATAAAGAAAAATATCTATTAACCCTTTACCTCCTGTGAGTGACCAAGAGAGGATTTCTTCTTACAATATCAATACAATATCAAGCATGGAAGTGATGAGAATAAAGAAAATTATCAATTAGGGGATTATTGGTTGATCCAATACCAAAATTAATTCTCCAAATTGACATCATAAGAAAATTAATGTAAGGCAGACAGTAAAGAGAATTACTAATGAGATCTTGGGAGTTTAAGGGATAAAGGATTGATAGTTGATCAAGACAAATAATTATTTTAAGGCAGACATTAAGGAGGATTACTAATGAGATCTTGGGAATAAAAGAGTTAGCCTTTTAATCTCTAAAAGTGACCAGCATTAAATTTCTCCCCAAAATATTATACCTGAATAACACATTAAGGTCAAGAGAGTAAAGAAAATGATCTCTCACTAAAGGAGCTCTTGATTGTTAAACAAATTCTTCTTGTCAGCACCTTTGGAAATGTATAGAGCCAAGTGTGGAGAATATGCATACTGATGCTAGGATGTACAGTGTTAAGTATAAAACTTTGAGATTTTCCTTTTGTTATTAAAATCAAAAGAAAAACAAATCAAATCAAATCAAATGAATTGAGCTGGTCAGATTTACTAAGTGTATTTGCTGACCACTTGTAAAAGTGAACAACTACATGTTTGCAGTGAAAAGCTGTCCAGAATAATTCTTCACAAACCAGTACATTTCTACCTTTTACACCTTGTTTTCCAAGCTTAATATCTCCACAAGTTAAAAATAAGGCCAAAACCCAGATAATCACAACACAGACACATGCACCATAGAAAGTTGTACACTGATATTTGTAAATACAACTCAAACACCACATACTCCTATACACTCTGGCTAAAATCTCCTCTTAACCCTAGCATCAGTATCCATATTCTTCAAACTCTTCTCTGTAAATTTCCCTTGATACTGACCAGGAGAATTAGCTTAAGGATCACAGCTTCTTAGGTTTGTAAACATTCCTTTATTCTCATAATCTTGGTGAATAATTCGGCAATATTACCATAAAGAGAAATTAGATGCAGGTCATTCTCATGTGATATTAGTTTGGAGAATTTGGAATTGGATCAACCAATAATTTATAATTTTCTTTATTCTCATAACTTGTCTGCTTGATAATGTACTGATAGTGTAAGGAGAAATTCTGTCTTGATCACAAGGGGGACTTAAAGGGTTAAGATTTAGAAAGTTAAGTAGAAACTTTTCAAAACAGTTTGATTTTCATTTCCTTTTTTTAACAAATTATGATAATGATTAAGACAAAGAAAAGGAAAAGCAACCTCTGAATCAAAAATTAAGATCATGAGGACAAAGGAGATGATCAACAACAATAGAAACTCTTGATTGTTGAACAAATTCTCCTTGTCACAACCCTAAGAAATGTTTAGGGAATAGCAAGGTGAATATTCAAACTGATGTTAGGGAGTAAAGGGTTAAGGGGGCTCTCTTTAATATGACCCATAACTTAGTCGTGTTTAGATTAATCACTTTTAGAAAAGTTAAAGTTACCTGAATTTTCCAGCCTTTGCCTCTTATTTCCATCAAGTAGGATAGTGTTTGCTGATGATGCTCTCTTGAGGGACTCTTCTACCCTGTTAGCATGACTTTGTACAAATCCATGTAGCTCTTGCACTGATGATCCAAGTGTCTTTGCTCGAGATTCTATTCCTTCTGCATCATCAGGAACTTCATGCTCATCTTCTGGCCCTATGGTGAATACTGTCGTTGCTGAAGGCCCATTTGTGGTCCATGCTGGCCTCTTAACAATGGCCCAGGTGTCTTGTATCCTTTTGTATGTAGGGAAGATGTTTATTCCAAGTATTTTTGCCATTTGTGGACCAATGTTATTTCTAAGAACTTGCACATACTTCTGCTGTGAGAGGTATAGTCGACTCAAAAGTTTTTTACCAAACACACCAAAGTCATCAATGTGTTTGTCCAACAGTGCTGGCATGACATAGGCTCGGAAGAAGCTTGGATGCGCATGGCAACACGCAATTATGACAGCATTTGCTGCTTCCTTAGGCTTGTGAAAAATGAAATGTTTCATGTCTTGATCAGAGTAATTCTCCTTTCTGGCAATCTTCTTAGCCTCATTTTCTTTGACTTTTTTAATTACTCTACCCCACTTAACTGCTAGTGGTAGATTGAAATCCATTAAGTTGCCTTCATCCAACTCATCTAAATCTTCCAAAATAAGGTCTTCTAATGTCTCTTTCAAAGTTTTTTCTTTTCCAATAGCAACAACCTTTTGGTCACTTCCAACTTCAATTTCTGAGGGAGAAGCCTCAGCTGCATTAGCATCACCAGAAGTAGTTTCCTGGGACTCCTTCTCAGTGCTGGCATCTGCTTTTGTATCAGCACTTTTCTCACTTGTCACCTCCACCACTTGCTTGTCACCTTTTTTTTCAAGTGGAATTTTAGCACTAGTTGTTGTTCCATCTTCACAGACTTGGTCAACAACTGTGTTACATATATTTCCACCCTCATGCAATGTTTCCTTGCTACTGCCAGGGGTAACTATTTCCTTGTCTCCATCAAGACTCTCTATAGCTTTATACTGTACAGTTTGTTGCACTTTGACATCTTCAGAGGCCACATTTGGTTTAACACTATCTTTACCACTTTTTGCTGTTTCTTCTTGGCTAGTTTTTGGCTTTGGAGTATTTTCATTGGTTACACCATTGGTTTTATCCTCATTGTGAATCATAGTTTGTTCTTCTGTAGATTGAGCCTTGGATGTGTTTCCTAATATTTCAGTGTTCACGGGAACAGTCTCCTTTGCTCCATCAGAATGTTCTGCAGTCATTTTGTCCCTTTGCGTACAACTGTTGTCTGTAAAATTACTAACCTGTGCCTTAAAAGTGTCAGAGTCCATTCCTTTCATTACTCCAAGAGCTCTTTCGGTCTGCTCATTGTTGCTTTGCTCAGTATTCTGGCTCACTCCTCCTGAAGAAACAGTTGCTTTGCCACCCTCTCCCCTTGCAACATCAATTTTTTCAACAGTGTCTCTCTGAGGTTCGTTTTTCTGCTCTTCTTTACTTGAATTTGTTGCATCATCTTGGGTGGTGTGATTAGCTTCTTCCTGATCTGCCATCAATACATCAGTTGACTCAATTTCTGAAGACATCCTACCCTCCCCAGTTACATGCTGTGGCAGGCACTCATCAGTCTCCATGGGAGAAGATGTGGAATTTTTCAAAGTTGACTTCTCAGTATTGTCTCCAGCATCTTCTTGAGTTGGCTGCAAAGATTCAGGCCTCTGATCATCACTTAAACCTTGGTTTGCTACAGCAGACTGGGGAATTGAGTTTGGCTTGTCCTCTTTTCTTCCATCTTCTCCACTTGGTATAACATCTTCCTGTTTTTTAGTCATTCCAGGTTGGGAGAACTTTTCAACATCACCAAAATCTTTGCCAGAATGTTCAGTGTTATTCTCTGCAGAAGAAGTATTTTTGTCTTCAGGTGCACCAGTGCCACTTGCAACAGGATTGACCACTTCTTTTGTATTTAAGTCAGTTTTGCCAGCACCAGAGCTAACCACCTCCACTGGCTCAGATAGGGAGCTAGTCTTGGCTGCTTCATCTGCAGTTTTCTTTTCTGGGACATCTGGGAGTGAAGACATCTTATCTGCTGACTTCTTACCACTTGTAACAGCAGTAGGTACTTCCTCCTTATTTTCATCTCTTTCATTGCCAAGAGAGCGAGTGATCTCCGGTGATTCAGGCTGTGATGCAGCTTTGGGAGCTTCAGTTGTGGTCTTCCCAGCTGAGGATTCAACTTCTAGGTCCATAGTTTTCTTTGTAGTTTGTGAAGTAACTCCTCCTGAATTACCATCTGCAAGAAATTCTAAGGATGCACTTGTAGCTGATGATGACCTGTCTTTAGATACATCTTGCCCTAATGCACTTGCAGCAGTCTGACTTCCTTGTGCAAAACTAGTATCAGCTGTTTTTCTCTTTGCAGTTTTGTCAATGTTCAAACCACTGTCGTGTTTGCCAGTCCTACCACAAGATTTGCCTTGGGGCTGCAAAATCAAGTCTAGCAAACTTGCCTCCACTTCCTTTCTAAAGCGTTCAAACTCTGTAAACATTTTGAAAGCAGAGATACTGCCCAGACTAACACGAAGGGACTTTTGCTCCAGTAGCTGGAAAAGTGAGACAATTTTGGCCAGACGAGGCAAGAGCAATTCCTTCAATTCATCATCGTCAATGCGCTTAAATAATTCCCGTATTCTTGCTTTACGGTGCAAATCATTAAGCTCCAAGGGTAAGAAGTTCTCGCATGCAACTGATGCCTTCTCTATGGGGATCCGAAGAGCATGATTGGGATTGAAATAGTAGTGTTTCCTAAGAGCTTGTTTGGAAGGAAATGTCTTCTGGCATGAAGGAAGCCCGCAGGTATTATCATTTTCAAGACAGGTGCGACAGAATTGACAGCATCCACCTCCACAACCACCTTTCACAGCTTTCCTTGGTTGTGTCGTGTTCTTACTGCTGCTAGGTGTAAAAGGTGCTTTCTTTGTGCTTGGAGAATTTCCAGTAGATGTTACCACTTGAGCTTGTGAAATTGTATCTTGGGGAGATGGATTTGTATGAGTAGTAGAGATAGTAGGAGAAGGAACTGATGCTGGTGTGGATGCCACAGGTTTTGTCTTGTTGGTAGTGTTCAGAGGCCCAGAAGAAGCAACCATAGTAGGCTCTTGTAACATGGGTACCTCTGGCGAAGGTGGGGAGGACTCTGAACATGGCTCATCAATGAAAACAGGTTCTGGAACTGATGGTGAAATGTCAGATGTGAATTTTGATGTTGTAGAGGACAAAGACTGAGGACTGTTTAAAATCCTCTTTTCTTGTAGTGCTTTAACAAGGGCATCTCTAGCAGAATTCAAAGATGTTGATGATGAAGTATCAACACCAGAAGTTAGAGCGCCAGTTTGTGTGAGGGGACCAACATTCTTAGATGTGACAGTTAGGGGTGAATAAGTGGGATTTATTCCACTCATAGCTGTACCTGAAGAGGTTTTTAACTGTTTAACACTACCTGTTGAAGTGTATGTATTTGGCGGCTTGGGTGCAACGACTTGCTGCCTTGACACTCTTGTGGGTGAAGCTGAATGTGCGACCAATTTTGCCAAAGAATCCTGTATTGCTCCCTTCAGCTCCATAACACTAAATGGCTGAGGAGACTTAGCTACAGTTGCTAGTGCTCCTTGGATTGCTTGTTGCAACAGACTGGCATCAACCCCTTTGGATTGGCTGACCACAGCAGCAAGAGCAGCCTGCAGAATTTGCTGAAATTCAGTTGTGTTGAATGGGGCAGTAGCAGGTAAAACAAATCTGATATTTAGAGGCTTCGAGGCTGCAGTAGCTGGTTTTGCACTTGGAACCTGAACTCCCTGAGTCAGCAGCTTAGTTAAGGGCACATTACGCATACTTTGTGCAGGAGAACCAGCACTGAATGGCCTTGTCACCATGGCACCTTGTGAGGGATAAGCACCACTAAGAGCCCTACTGCTTAACTGGACTGATTGAGGGGTAACTGGTTTTGAAGTTGACAAATTTAAAGTAGTTTTGGCAGCTGTTCCAGTTGATACAATATGAGGTATGGTAGCTAGGGAACGTACATCAATAATCTGTGGTACAGAAGCACCTTGAGCTCCAGAACTGAGTGAGTTGTGTGGAGCAGGTGCTACAGAAAGTATATGAGTGGGCAGTGATATAGGGACCACAGGATTCTGAAAGCTAGGTGCCCTGTTTGTTGAAGACCTGGGTTTATTTACACTTGTATCTCGTGCAGATTTTAGTGAACTGATGACATTTTCCAAGGATTGCCTTGATCGTACCGAATTAGGACGAACTGGTTCCACTGATTTCGACTGCGCGAGTGCAAGAGAAGTCGGTGATTTCAGCGCTCTGGCCTTCCTACGCGGCGCTTGTTCGAAATCACACTCGTCTAGAAGAGAACTCAGAGAATAAGAAACCTCACAATCCTCTTCCTCCTCTGGCTCTTTCTTTACCCTGATAATTCCCATGTTTCGAACCCTAAGATTGACGGTCTCTACTTTGCTCTTGCCTTTCGCTTTTGTATTTGCCGCGGGTAGATTCGCGCCACGTTGATTCGCTCGATGAATGTTCCTAGCATTTCTGCCCGAGTAAGTCGACAACATTTCTCTTCGATGGGAAAATCGTCGACATTTATCGCGCATTCCAACAACATCGATCTCGGGAGAGCTGCAACGGTCATCCATTTGGTCACGAAATAAAAGTAACCTTTGTTTACAGCACCCTCACGATCGAATTTCCCCAGTTCTCCAATCGTTTGTTTGCGTCGCAAGTCTTCACTACCTGCCAATGTCAGAGCAGATCGTTCAACATAATACGCGCTCGGTGACCAGAATAACTTTTAAGAACACAAAGTTGGAGCTTTTAAGCTTCTACAACGGGCAAAAACGTTCCATAAATCGATCCTCAATGTGTCTTCACACCCTCGCCATCTTGTCGCATTTTGCCTACAAAAGAATTGTGGGTCCTCAGCGCGTGTTCCTACGTCACGAACGCTTTTTAGTGGGGGCTGCGCGTAGCGAGGTGTTTACATCGCAACGTTTAATAGTGTTTTTTCGACCAATGAACATCCAGTAATCTTATCTGTAATGGAGATAAATTGTATTGTAGACGAACGGTTGCATAGATGACATATTTACACAAACATGCGGAACGTTTATCGTTCGTATAGGGATAGATTTCAAATGGCATCAATCATGATTAAAATTATGGGAAGACTATTGTGATAATTTTATAGTCTATGATTATTACGGTTACTTTTAAACTCTTTATCGTGGCCAATTTACGTTATCAAATCAGTTGATAAAACTAAGCACCGCAGTTTCTTTAAAAACATACCCCCTTTATTCAATCGCTCTGACGAAGGGCTAACGCTTGAAACTTCAGCTTCTAAACTCTTTACGATGGCCAAATTTTCACTATCAGCTCAGCTGATAATACTTAATTACCCTATCGTGATTATCGTTTCAAAAACCCATCCTTTGAGAGGTTGCGTAGTTTGCAGATCGATTTGGAAAGCAAAATATTTCCTCCAAGCGCTCGACTGACGAAGTTTTATTTGCATTCGATGGAACGGAAGCATCTACAAATATATTTATAAAACGAGGCTTAAGACGAGAACCTCCTTTCAACCGCCTTTAACCACCTAAATATACCAAGGGAAGCAAATCGAGCGAAGCAAAGTGACAAAGGCTCTCTACTGATCGACGCCACGTGCCGTTTACACAACGTGACTAACGCATGACTTAGAGCACGAAAATTCTACTTAATTGTCAAAAGTTATTGCATTTATTTCGTTATAAACCGCGTTGAAATTGTTCGTAAAATTTATGAACATCGAAAATCCTTTTGTCAGTCATATAGCTTCGTTCAAATTCTACTCATCCCACAACTTGGCTGACCGAAACTTGAGCTAAGGAACCACGCCACATCTTATGTGAAACATCTACCATCGTCACAAGTAAACAAATCATTCGCCTTGTCGATGAATTTTACTCATGTGATCACATTCCGTTTATCTGCTTTGGCGATTTACCTTTGAAGCGTAGCTGACTTTTTGCCCGTTCATGACTGAAATGCTTTTTTTTCAGATAGAATGGATCCTTTAGTGCATTTACGATGTAAACAGAGCATATTTGACCGCCTCGCTCGATCGCTCGCTCGCTGCGATCAGCTGATATATATGTGGGTCGTTGATAAACATTTTCGATCTTAGATCAGTGACAGCACGCTGGTCTGTCTCTTAATCAATCGATCGCAAGTTGCCAACAAAAGATCAAATTTTCGTTTGATCGCACACAGCACAGTCGGCAGGTAGAGGCTTACGGATATTTTCTATGACTTCAAGGCAGTTTTAAGTCACAATGTCTCAAAAGACGGTAAATACTTACTTCTTCGGTCGCACAAATGGTCGGTTGATAGGCTTTCTATTGACGAAATCACCTCCAAACGAGGCTTTCAAAAATTTTCGTGATTTTTTTTTAACACTTCTTAGACTATCTTGGTCGAATACCACCTGCACTTCAACGAGAATGCCTTTACCAGCTTTTAGATTGAGCAGATAGGAAAGTTCCCTGATAAACAGATGCTTCAAAGCGAGGCTACTTGATAATTTTCCCAAAAGGCCGCTTTGTCCGCGTTAGTTTACAATTGTCTCTCAGAACACCCCCAGGAAACTTTCTAGTCTCTACACTAATCGAATCGAATATAGCAATATATTTTCCCGAGGGGCGAACCTGTAAATTTCTGAAGCTTATTTGGAGAAATTCCAAAAACTCAGGCTACTTTTCGCAACTCTTCGACCGGAAATCTTCAGAAATCGATCGTTACTTTCGGAAACTTTCCAAAACATTCAGAAGGAGTTCCAAAGTCTTCTGAATAAACCAAAGTTTTGACATGCAAGATTTGAAAGTTAAGCACCTTCCAGTTTGTTAAACAAACTTACCGTGAAAAATGAGGGAGGCAGATGAGGAGATAACAAACCATATCTAAGAGACTATAAAATACGTGAAAATTATATACGCGAACTGCGGATAAAGAAATGAATGTATAAACGATCTTCGGCATTATTTTCACTATTGCATAAGTAGTGTTCATTGCTGCGAGGATCGCTTCTAGATTCATTTTTTTATCCATAGTTCACTTATATGATTTTCATATATTTACAGTCATTTATTCAACTCCTCATGGGTTTATTTGGGACCAACATAATGACCGGCTCCCAATTGGTTTGTTAGCTTAGTTGGTAAAGCGCTGCACCGGTATCGCAGAGGTCATGGGTTCAAATCCCGTACAGCCTGAATGTTATTCAGGCCTTATTTTCACTACTGCTCAATAAGTAGTGATCATAATTGCGAAGACCGCTTCTATATTCATATCTACGAGATCTAACGCTGAAGCCTGGGATAGAATTTATACATGCTTACCAGTAAAATTGTTTGTTATCCGTTTTAATGCTCTCAGAGAGTAGACAGAGCGTGGACTGAACCAACAGGTTTTGAATCTCCATTACCCCATTAACACCAAAGCTAAAACATGTCTTAAAGCTGTTTTGTTAAAAACAGTTGAAAATTGTTTTCTTAATCATGTAGAAGCTGCTTAAACCAATGTTTATCTATGAAAAAGTTAGCACATCGGAAATCAAAGCTGAAGACTACTTGAAATCTATGGAAAACTCGATTTTTCAGTTCTCCGTTCAATCTGATTTTCACCCAGTTAAACCCGGTTTAGCCGCTGAACATGTTTTTCTGGTTTGAATGGAGTATAAGTCTCAATAGATATATCAGCTTTGTTTTGAGGTTTTCTTCTGTTTTGCTTTCCCTTGTAAATAGTGTATTTAACAGAAATAAATTAAACGTATCCAAGAGTTTTTTTATCATGAACTATCAGTTAAACTCAAACTTAGCACTGCTATTTGCAGTGGAGTCAGAATTTTCATTCATTAATTTAACAACTCGAGCCTATCGCTATCTCAAACCCCTTTCTTGTTTCCTTTAGTAACGAGCAGTTCAAGTTGGCGAGGTCTCACTGTATTTTTACGGTGTAGTCAGGCGACTTAATGAAATGCAGAAAATAAAATATTTTCCGGTGAGTAAAATTTGTTGGTCTTTTTGAATATTTTTTTTTATTTAAAAATTCATTAAATTCAGTGGAGTCAAACATACCAGCTTGTCAAACTGAGAGTTGCCTTTGAAATTAGATAAGCTGGTTCGTCATTGCTTTCGTAATTGTTACTGCACCTTTCCACCAACGGATTGGTGCTCGCACAAGCAGTGTGGCTTTTATTACCGAAAAATGATTTAAATTGAAGTTAAGATCATTGTGCCAGCCCAAGTGATTTTGTTGCAGGGCTTCTTCTACACACAGACAGATAAATATTCAAGCCCTCAAAACAATTCACGATTAAGTATCTTCTAAAGGTAAATTGAAACCTTATGCCGGGTAGTCCTTAAATCACTGAGATCGAGCGGTGTTGGTTGTCTGTTCGCAAGGTATAGTGTTTAGAGTTATTATATTGCGTTTAAAGTTTGTTTTCGTGTAAGGATCCGCCAGCCATTCGTCCATCTATCCATCCATCCTCTCCGAGAAAGCACCTCTAAAACCGATATGGAGTTTCCTTGGACTCGATACTTGGGCCGCTTTAGTAAGCTTCTAATATGCATGAAGGCTACCATAGGAATGCATGGAGATGATACTAAAACGACTTCCACAGCTTGCAGCATCCCTGATGGAGCTGCAACATGGCATAGTAAATAGGCTCACCTTGAATGTTTTAAAGACGGAATATATGTTGATAGGATCTAGGCAAATAATTAGCGAGCCTTGCAGAAGTACTTGATCTATCCACAAATGGGATCTCTTTGAAAAAAGTTGGAAATAGCAAATGTATTGTCTTGGCAAAGCAATCGATGAGTCTCCGACGTGTAAGGAGTCTTTCTAATAAAGCATCATCTGGAACAGGGTTATTATAAGGGTGAGCCTTTCGTTACTGCCACTTAACTGATTAGTGTCTATTGGGTTGTTGAACCATACTTGATTATTGCAGCGTCATACGTATGGGAAATGACATCAGAGACCACTTCAATGACAAACTTGAAACGGTACTAAATCGTGCGTGTCATCACAGCTGCCGACTAACGGTTATCTACGAAGGAATTATTGTGCAAACTTGGCTGGTCCAATCTCAAGGCGAGGAGAGAGAAAGAAAAAACTCTCATGATGTTTAAAAGTATGAATGATGCGACCCTAGTCTATTTAAAAGATCTCTTTTCAAGTGATATCGAGAGATCGGTTTGATCTAAGAACGTCCGGTGTGAATCTAGCTTTACCGGTTGTTAAAATAGACTACTCGAACAGCTTTGCTTACATGAGCCGAAGTTTCTAAAATGGAACCATCACTCTGGAATGTTGTTCTGGACACAAATCCACATCATCAGAGTCTAGTGAATTGTTGTTGTCTACAGTCAAGTTGTGTAAGTTTGGTTCAAACCATTCACGACAGTTGCACAGCAAACGAACAGAACAGAACGAACCTTAACATTTGATGAGGAATCGAGAAAGACCAATCACGACCGACAACCCACAGAGCCAATTCCTTAGTTGCTTCATGCCAAGGAAACAGGCTCAAATGAGCTACGAGCAAGCCGATATACCCTCGAGTATGACTAAACTTTTTCATCGATGAACA